AATGACATATCATACATTAACATCCAAGCGTTAATACATTCCATTAACGAACGGTTCAATAATAAAAAAAAAACATTTTTTTCACTAAAAAGACATTTTTATAGTTCTTTATTTTGCACAATTCAACTAGTATAGGTACATAGCAACAAATAATTTTATATACGCAAGCCTTGCATCGTTTCGCCTCAGGGTACCTACACATTCAAACTGCGAACTGTGAACTGCGAGCCTCACTAAAGCTTCCCCTAGAGCGACTTTATTCCATGAATGACAAAAGAGTATTTTTCCCTTAGGCATATAGGCATATATCGTATATTTATATGGAAACATCTATCATTGTGCTAAAATCACGCAATAAATCTGGAAAACTTTTCAACTTGAGAAATGTAGATGTTGCAATAATATTTTACATATTAGGCAATTTGTAGGTATATATTTTATAATATTAGATTTCGGTCCTCTTTCCTTTTTATGATAAACATTGAGCCATATGCAGAAAAAAACAAAGATTCAACGGAAAAGAATTGTTGTACTGTGCCTACTACAAATATTTGCAGAGACAAAAACAATATCAAAGATCTTTCACAAATATACCTACTACCTTCGATCAACAGTTACTATTGTTGATCGAAGCCTACTACAATCTGGAGTTGAGTCATTCGAAGTTCAACATCAAGACAAGGAATCATAATTAATTAAATCATACAATGACCGCCATTCTGAAAACATAATGATTTAAATCAATCAACTAATATTTAATATTTCTCAAGACTTTCCACGTCAATCTAAAAACATGATGCCGTTTGAGACTATTCGTCGTATTTTCATGTTTAGTTGATGATTAGCTCGTCGTTTATTTCACCGTTATGAAATGTTAAAAAACGGCATTAAAACAGATACTTTAGCTTAATTTTTTATTTACTCTCTATATGAACCAAATCGTCGTCGTGGCCTAACGGATAAGACGTCCGGTGCATTCGTGTTGAGCGATGCACCGGTGTTCGAATCTCAGGCGGGTACCAATTTTTCTAATGAAATACGTACCATAAAATGGGGCGATTAGGGATTGAGAGGCGAATCGGGAAAAAACCGGGAAAATCTTTCGACACTCAATATTAGTTATAAATTCGTTGCAAAATCTTCCATTTTTTGTAGTTTAATAGTAGAATGTTAAAAGTTTACAAAACAACTCTGAATATGCATGATAATAGCTGCTAACTTATAAAAAATCGCGTTTCAAATTAACTTTCTGTGGTGGTAATTATTTTAGTGCTCTCTTTTATTTATTTATTAACTTTGCTCTCTTTTATTTATTTGATAATAATAGAAGACGACTGTGATTTATAAACGTTATTTAGTGTTTGAACCATCATGTATATTAAAGGTAAGTCTCAGTTGTTATTGGTTTTAATGTATTTGATAAAATAAAAATACATGTAAAAATCTGTTGTTTTTGGGGATATTGGACGTCTTATGTACAAATAACAACGAAAAAGGGGTCAATTGGGATGAGAATACGTGAAATGGAAACGACCTAAGTATAAATAGGTACAAGTTTCTAGGGTTGTCTATGTAGTTATAACAATATTTGTTAAATTTGTTGGTAAAAATCTGGTTTATTCATGATGTTTTTGTCTAGAACTTTTATTCAAAATTATCAATGTGTTATTTTATTGTTTGGTATTATTATTATCAGTTACGTATTGTTTTCTATTTTTAGATACGCCTCGCGTGTACGTATCAAAGAGTGCAAAGCCTTTTAAGAGATATTATCCCTTAATATTAAAAACAGCAATTGAGAAATTGCCTAATTGGGAATAAGTCTTTAGTTGAAATAGCTAAGCAATTTAATATTAGTAAGTCAATTTTGCACAGACATGTAATAAGAACAATGAAATCTCAAGGTGGACAAAAATGTCTCAGTAATACATAATAAAATAATTGATATTTGTTCAGAGTGTCAGTTTTTCAATGTTTTTTTATTGATGATCACTTTGTTGGTGCAACTAAATAAATAAATTAATGAAAACCAAGTAGTGTCCACCCTAGCAAATTTCTCATTTCGTCCCAATTAACCGCAATTTCCGGGTAAGTAGGGATTACACCTATTTTTGTTTTTTTTGCTTAAACTGGAATGCTAGTTGCATAGTTTTAAATTGGACAACAAAGATGCCCCCAAGACTTAATCATTTTGATCCTGATATAGCATTATATACATCAACAACTACCTTAAAATTGGTCAAATGTTCACGATTGACTTTCACGGTGAAGGAATAACATCGTGTAATAAAAATGAAACCCGCAAAATTATAATTTGTGTAATTACTGATGGTAGGACCTCTTGTGAGTCCGCGCGGGTGGGTTCCGCCACCCTGCCTATTTCTGCCGTGAAGCAGTAATGCGTTTCGGTTTGAAGGGTGGGGCAGCCGTTGTAACTATACTTGAGACCTTAGAACTTATATTATCTCATTTGTGGCGCATTTGCGTTGTGGATGTCTATGGGCTCCAACAAGTATGTACCTACTTACATTTATGTTGAATAAATTTTTTTGATTTGATTTGATTTAAAGGTCTTAGTTACCAGGTCATAAAATCCCTTTTAAAATATATTTAAATATCAATGTTGTTAAAATATTAATATTATGGAGGGTAGAGGTAAGGAGGACCGTCTCTGTATGTAAAAAGTGTTCGTTAAAATCTGCTAAATAAGGGTGGCGCTACAGTAGCAACCGGCTAAATTTAAAAAAAGGCGCTGAACGTTATTAGAATAAGATAGAGGAATAAAAAAGGATGAAAGAACTGTAAGCACTACAAATTCACAAAAAAATATTTTATTTAATGCTGATAAGAAAATGCAATCGATGTCTCCACGTTTTACCACAGCAATAATTTTAGGTTATATTGACGAAATTAGGAGTTTGGACTACGTAAACATGTGAGGTCTTATATCACTAACTACTCTAGTCATTAAATATATTAAATTTCCTAACTCAGCATACTTCAATCAGTTGACAACTGCTCAATTCACATCATACCCTGAGCCTGTGCTAGCGCCATTCTGGAGGATTTATGAACTGTTATTTAGTGCTGAAAGTAGGACACTTTTTCAAGCTTCTCCCATATGAGACGGTTCTCCTTACCTCTACCCTCCATAATTAATATATAATAATATAGCATTTTTCAAATTTCACACTTGAACTATTGACTTGAACAATTTTAAGACTTATAGCGACCTGCCGCGCCCTCGCTTCGCTTCGGAAACATAAAATTTTATTATTGATAGGCGAGTCCCGCCCTGTTGCGCGCGGTACGACAATAACAGCGGATGACGCCGCGAGGCGAAGCTAGTCTAAAAAAAGTAACCTAAGTTACTCCTTATATCATCAGCTACCTATCAGTGAAAGTCCCGGCAAAATCGGTCCAGCCGTTCAAGAGATTAGCCGGAACAAACAGACAGACAGACAAAAATTGTAAAAAATGTTATTTTGGTGTGTGCCATATATATATATATATATATATATATATATATATATATTCATGTGCATGTAGTAAGAAGCGGTTATTTCAATATTATCAACAGACACATTTTATATGTATAGATTAATGATGAATGCATAACAATTCGAACATGTTTTCATAGATTCATAGTTTAGTTAGTTGTAGAAAAATTATAAATTAAAATAATGAACGGATGACATTGATAGAACTATTAAAGAGGTACACCATGCAACAGGTAAAAAATTTAAAGGTATCGGCTCCACCTTCTTTAGGCCATTGATGACATTTTACCTTGAAAAGCGATGACACTGAATAACAATGAATACATTAAACTAAAGTGACTTTAAATATATTTTAATTCGCTTGTTAAATTGGCCTAATTAAAATCGTAACTTTTTTTTGTAAATCCCTTTTGATAGAACCGATAATACGGGCAACCGCACTAGTAGTTTCAAAACAAAATAATCTATCGATTAGTGTTGCTGTGGCACGTAAATTACTACACCGGATGTGTGGTTAGAAAATGGTACAAAATCACTTCGACAAAGCGGCACGACATGAAAACCCTCTCATCGTGGCCGCTGGTAACTACATTCCCGATCCTGCGGACAGAAGTCGACGTCGCCCAAAACACATCATTTCGGATCCTCCCGATCCACTAACGATGCTTTTAGGTACCTCAAGCACCGGTCATCGTACTTGTCGAACCCGTCGCTTGCGACGAAGGGCTAGTTAAGGTTACGCTGAAATAGCCTCTCAAGGCTATTTTCAGCTTAGGTAGGAAGAAAAAAAAAGGTACAAAATCATGTAAGGCGCAGACGATAGGAATATTTTGGGAATGCGGTGAAGGTTGAAAAACAAGGCCTGAATCTAAGAATACAAAACTCGTGACTCACCTCATGTTCTCAATATTCTTCTCCAGCGATATTATGGTTCCTTAATGATTATTCAGTGGCAAACGAGGAGAGACCACTTCACAATATTGAAAGATGTTTTGGTATACTATGATGCCCTAGCGCTTCAAAACGCGTGTTTCTTCTCATCAAACTATCAATTTGACATCAACATTTAAAGAGATGTTACATTTCACCTCATCTTACTTTCTAGGTGTTGTCTCTCCTCAGAGTATTTTGTCGTTTTATCCAAATTTCTTTTCATTCACTTTTTCCCTTTCCTATAATGTCTCCATTAAAACTTTTTAAATGGCGCAGCAACTGCAATATAAGTGCACTATTTCGTCTGAACTTGGGTTTCAGCAGACGATTATAGATGATGTAATAAAACACTAAGGATAATATTTTAACTTTTAATAGGGATAACTTATATAATATGCAAGGGACAGTCCCAAGGATTCCTCTCTAGTGATAAAAGGANTTTCCCTTTGCTATAATGTCTCCATTAAAACTTTTTAAATGGCGCAGCAACTGCAATATAAGTGCACTATTTCGTCTGAACTTGGGTTTCAGCAGACGATTATAGATGATGTAATAAAACACTAAGGATAATATTTTAACTTTTAATAGGGATAACTTATATAATATGCAAGGGACAGTCCCAAGGATTCCTCTCTAGTGATAAAAGGATAAAACCATCACTCACAAGTGGAGAATCACATTTTATCACCCGCTCAATAAATACGGTCAACAGTAAGCATAATCTTAAACAATTTAATCCGTAAATGATATTTAGTCATTTTACAACTCTGGATATTTAACCGACAAGGTTCAAACTAAAAAGTAGTCGGATCACGGTCGGGCCGGAGTACTACTGCGCCGCCGGGTGGCGCGGGCGGCGCCGGCGCGGCTAGGAGCCCCCACCTCCGCCGCCCGTCCCGGACCCCGCCCCCGCACCGCCCGACCCCGCCCCCGCACCGCGAGACTTGGGCGTCGGCGGCTGCAGGTATTCGTGCCGCGCCAGACCGAACACATCGATGCGCTCCTCTTTGCGGTACGCCAGGCACGCGCGGATGAAACTCTAAAATAAATAAATTAAAACATTCTAAAATAAAACAAAATATGAAATATCTCTGAAATAACATTACAATGAAGCTTGAATTTCCTAAATTCGTCTACTCCGCCTACTAGTTCCTCTCTTGTGTATTGTGTTTTTTAACGTTCTCGAAAGCTTAAAAGTTAGCCCAATTTTGTATGTGTTAAAAAACTCGCACACTAAGCACACTGGTCAACATCGGAACCATGGATGCCTATTTTTTTTACCGCGAAGTAATGGTATATTCAGGTTTAAAGGGGGAGTAGTATTTTTTCCAATGTAACTGAGGCTTCAACCTGTTGTCTCAAGGACAACAACCAAGGCTTTCATGGTGTCATAGCCAACTTACCGATTAAACGACTGACTAATACTCATTTGCCACTGTGTATACATCTAAAATAATATCATTATAGATATGTAAAATCTTAAAAACATTATAATTATCTTTATGATAATCTGATAATATGTTCTTACTTTCTAATTTAAAACCTATTTGTAAGGAATATATTGCTATTATAGATTATTTTTAGATCTACGATTTAATTGCATTTTTTCAGTTATTTTATAAAAAATGTAATTGTTGTACTCACTTTAGCCTCATTGCTGACTGTGGGTTTGTTAGCAAACTGAACGTCAGTTGCCTTTAGTATGGTGTTTTCTTCCAATATAGTAGCCTGGCTCTGGTTGTGGCCAAACGGCTTCTTTCCATACAGGCACTGGTAGAAGATAACACCCACACTCCAAACATCCACCTTACTACTTATCTTTGGTGGGTTTTTTCCAACGACGAAACATTCCGGTGGCAGATACCTAGTTGAAATAATAGTTTAGTAAATAATTGAATGTTGTTACTCTGATTGGGTTGTGGGGCTGGTCTCAAATGACATCATCCTATCTCATTCACAACAAAATCGGCAACAATATTCTCAGATTACTACACTACCATACTGCGATAGACAATCAGAACAAAAGCAAGCTACATATCTACAAAAACTAGGTAAATGGATGTTTTAAAGAAATAAGTGACTTTATTTAAGAAGCATGATGTCTAGTTATTTATAAACAGTCAGATGAAAGATAAAATCACTACTTGACCAACATTATGGAATTAGTTCCATAAGACAGAGCCTATGCATTAAAATAATTCATACATATACAGCAACTTTCTTTTTTACTTTTTAAGTAATAAAACTAAATTGAATTTCAATATTAATATAACATATAAGTAATATCTAGCCTAAATCAATTAATCTTGACTAATAATAGTACTGACCAGTATGTACCGGCTCCCTGGCTGGTCAAGTCCATGCCATGGTCAGGATTGTAGTTCTCCTCGTCCATTACTTTGGAGAGGCCAAAGTCTGTAATCTTGATCTCGCCACAAACATTGCCTTCCGTTAGTAGAATATTCCCGGGTTTCAGATCATAGTGAATGACAGGTGGTTTTATTTCGTTCAGATACTTTAATGCTGACACCACTTGCATCACAATGGAACGCGCCTCACGCTCCGGGATTGTTTTGTGCTGAAATTGAAAATTTTTGTTTGCTTTAACATTTGGTATGGCAGTCGCTTACTGCATACACTAGATGTGTTAGGACTCTATTAGTTGGATAGAAAATTACTTTATTTAAGTTACAATTAATTGCTTAGTTTATTATCTTTTTACAGGCAATGGATATTAAGATAAAAAACAACACAACATAACCTGTTATATCTATCTGATATTTCCAATATATTCTTTGAATTATTTTACATTTAATTTAAGCTACAAAAGTTCGATACAAGAGTTCAAGGTAAATAAATAAATAAATAAATAAATTACCTAGTCTGCAGTTTAAAAATCACTCAAAATTATTATTTTTATATCACAGCAACCTCAGTAAAGATTTGTGTTTACTTATACATACCATAGAACGGATCATTGTTTATGGATATCAAAGGTTAATTAATGATCTCTTTCTAACGAAAGGCTTGCTATGGGGTTATGTCATTATATTTACTAAGCCTTATTCAACAACTACAGTGGGCCTGTACAAAAGATTATATTTTATCTATGCCAGGATTTGATTCATACATTTAAAAATATATATTTGATTTGCCTATGCCTATGCGAGTAAAAATAAAGTACAAGAAGCGTTTTAAATAACACATATGAGTCGTCTATTATCAAAGGCGGCAATCTGACTTTTGGACAATGATTGGTAAATCAGAAAAACGAATTATTGACTTTGTATTCCATCGGCAGTCACAAAACTCTTCGGAACGACATCTTACATAAATAACAGGTTAACTATTAACCTTTATTTAATGCAGGTTTTGAACCGTATTCTTTGAAGGAGAGACGATTATATTCAAATCAATCTGTATTGACATATTAATAATTTTTTTTTGTCCAAATGCACAGATTGCCACCTTTGATAATAGACGACTGATATAAAGATTACTATCAGTAAATTCAACAAACATATTTAAGTAATCAAAAGTATGCTCACCTGTTTGAGATAAAAGTCGAGATCATGTCCATTACAGTATTCAAGTACTGTACAAAACGAATTTCCGTCGATTTCGAATACATCGTACAGTTTTACGATGCGAGGGTGATCCAAGGCTTTATGGATGTTGTACTCCCGTAGTGCGTGTCTGTTGACAACATATTATACATTATACATTATTCAACGGTAGGAAACGGGACCGCATTTAGCCCCATTTTAAAACCCTAGATGATACGATTTTATCTAGCAGCTGATACTAACCAAACATTACAGTTTATTGAGATTACTTAAAAAATATTTGAAACTATGCCATTGCAAGACAATAAACTATATATAAACAATATATGCTTTCTTAATGATTTCCTCGAATGTCTTTTTTGACTAAACTAATTTTGCACTTATTCCAATGAACTCAAAATTAAATACTTTCACATTGTGGATTTAGGTTTAATACTTTAATTTTATTTTAAATGTAATTTTTCCGATATACGACTATATATGTAATAATTAAAAAATCGTAATGCCATCGTACACGACTCACTTGATATAATTGGCTTTCTTGTCTTCTTTCCAGTCTTTGTTGAGCTGATGCACTTTACACGCGGTGTATCGTTGCTCCTTTAGATCGAACGCCTTGTGTACTTCACTGAATCCACCCTTGCCAAGCAGCATCAGCAGTAAATACCTAGGATTACATGAAATTTAATGAGTTTTATATTTCACAATCTATCTAAAAGTTTATAAATACTCTAAATGTTGAGACGTCAAGGAACGGACAAAAAAGTGTTCCACATAAAACTATTTAGAGTATGCATGCATTTGCAGACATGCAAGTTATAATTTTATGTTAGTTATAGTTATAGTAGTAGTCTTGTGAGTACGCACGGGTAGGTTACCTCGCCTATTTCTGCCGTGAAGCAGTGCTGAGTTTCGGTCTGAAGGGTGGGGTAGCTGTTGTAACTATACTGAGACGTTAGAACTTATATCTCAAGGTGGGTGGCGCATTTACGTTGTAGATGTCTATGGGCTCCAGTAACCACTTAACACCAGGTGAGCTGTGAGCTCGTCCACCCATCTAAGCAATAAAAAAAAACATGCCGAACTCATATGAAACTGAGATACTTCGCGAGCGCTACTTGAAGGTCTGCCAAAATGCGTATTGTGTACTTTTAACTTTAACTACGCAATCGACAGGATACAAAGATTTGAATAGATCTGACTCGTAATTAATCAAATCGTGTCACTCGTTTACGTCACTAGGTTTGATTGTTTTATGATAATTTAATCATAACAAATTGTCAATTTGTTGTGAAACGTATTTCGACCAGCACCCCAAGGTCACCGATGCACGTTATATACCAGGAGAAATATTTTATGTGAGTGACACTGTAACCGCCTTCAACATTTGCAAACGACAAAAACCTTTTCATAGATAAATCCAACTCAATTCCAAAAAAAGCTATGAATAAAAATTAATTGAAAGACAGACCGACAGTCTTTTATTCAAACATTTCGGAAATGATTGGCATGATGTGTCTAATCTACAATTCTATCAAGATTTCATATTGACCAAAGTCTTTATAAATGTACTCTTCCTAATGAACACTACTGTTAGGAAGCTCTGGACGTCAAAGGTGGTGTCAAAGATTTTTACGGAAGTTCGGCACAAAGCCGACCATTTTCATTTGTGAGAATCAAAGTGGATCATATTCAGATTTCTTACATAAATAGCTCGTTAAATTACCATAACAAGTAATTATTGGTTAACCTAATGCTATAAGAGTTCAATATTTAATCAATAGACCGCTATGCAGAGACAAACACTTTAAATTCGGTAAAACCGTTTTTTTTGTTTTCTCAAAAAATGCTAAAAATGAGATTGTCGTCTTTGATTTTCTACGACCGATATTTTTTTTTCCAACAATATCAAACTTTACTGAAACGGAAATTGTGATTGCCCTGACAATAGAAAACGACCTTATTTTCGGATATATTGACCAATAGTGAACTCATACCATGGGTTGTTAAAAAATTTGAGTATACATAGTCAACTTTTAGAAGGATTATAGGATGAGTTTTCCAAAACAATTTGTCTTAACAATTACAGTAAAAAATGACTCAATGCCCTATTCTAGTGTGCAACTCACATTTATGCAACAAATTCACACTTCCAACACAAAAATCTGCCTAAGATAAACTCACCGTTCAGAGAGCACAGGATGCTGTGAGAAACGGCTCTGGTCTTCATTGTGTATTCGTTTCAATTCCCTAATATGAAGGTTCCTTTCTCTTTCTAACTTTTCCATTTCTAGCTGTAAATCTGCATCTTCTTTTTTTAGTGCACTCTGCCTTAACTGTAACAATAAATATATATATTGTAAAATTGACCACGAGATTTTAACAAGTAAAATTAATTAATTGCATCACAGCAAAACTTCTCAATAAAGGAAACAAAGATCAATTTTAAAATTTTGGACCTTTCAACCCTAGATTGAATTTTGATTCGTAATACTAAAAGGAGCTCTCTTGTAAAACAAGTTCAAAATATACCATCAAGTTTTATTTTGAATCAAAACTTACACAAAACAGAATTATTCTATACATAATTTCAATTAAATCATGGGCTTGTTACTTGATGAGCTAAATATAACTAAGACACAGCATGACATACTAATCAGTCATGGCTATATTGTTACAAAATGGCGGCTGTAGGTTGACATCCATTAGTGAGTGAAAGTCAGGACTTAATTAGATCTAGACTGCATTCTCCACATATAAATGTTTTATTTTAAGTAAGGCTCTAATTTGTAGGTAAATTCATCATTTAAATTTTAGTAATGGGAGTCAGAACTCATTTCTTTTTTAATATTTAGATCATTCATACAATAAATAACCCCAAACTTTCAGATGAATGATGGTTTTTAAATGTTCACTTAATTTTTTTTTTTTTTTAATTACACATTTATAAGTTTTATGTTGTTGAGAAAAATGATATTTATCAACTTCTGTATATAATTTTAAATGTGACATATTATAATGTAAGATTGAAGTAAATTATTCTAATATTTACAACAGGGACAAAAATTATTTTTTAATAATTTAGAAACCTATTACAAAATCTAGGTTTTTTTTTAATTTTTAAACTATTTTAAGTTATTTGTTAGCTATTAAATTAATTTACAAAAAGAGGAATTGTGATCAAGCATTTTACTTTCAAATAACTATTTTTAACTTTTATTCAATTATAATTAATTATATTAATATAATATATCGGTTCAATACTTAGTTTCGTTATTCGTGACCTCATTAATGTATTTGTGGGTTATAGCGAAGAAGTTGTTTTCTTTTAGTAGTTGTTTCCAAAAATCGAATTTATCCCGTAAGATAGTACACTGTATTCCATTAAATGCATACACTCAAAAGAAACTCAGAATACTTTTTTTATTTCAGTTTCTTAAAAAAGAAAATTGGTACATGTAAAATTTAGAGTGTACCTTAAGAATTTCATCAGCCTCATAGTACTCTTGGTAGGTCATGCTGGGTAGTGGGTCTGGTTTGAGGAAGGTGGGTGCGTCAGTGCCGTTGTGTAACGGCGAGGGTTGGGGCGTGGAAGGGGCGGCGCTGGCTGTCCGCTTGCCGCGTCCCCCACCGCCCTCTGTGTTCACTGGACGCTTTTTGAACAACAATTTCTTCTGCCGATCTATCTCCTCTTTCTCAGCTGTAATCTCTTCTTGTCGCCTGTAGATGATTATCACATATGATTTATATTTACTTTTATTACACTAAGTTTTCTTTTCAAACATCACAGGATTTTGAACCTGAGTCCATAAATTCCTGTAAGTGAATGTAAAGTCTGGAAGAGTTTATTTATTATTTTCCTAATATCAGTAAAGTAGGGCATTCAGCACCATACATAGTAAACATACTTATTCACCGGTAGATTAAGGGGCTATTCAGGCTATTAACACCATATCGGAATTAGGACACACTAAGATCCGGCGAAAATCTCAGTGGGTTGTGTCAATGGGTTAGTTCATTCGTCCAATTCTTCGTCGTAATCGACGAGTTCACCGTCTCTTTGTCGTTCTCACCGGCCCTTCAGAGTGCAAAACCACCACAAGACATATTATCTGTACTCTTCGGCAAAACTTGATAGTTCCACACCTGTTTCAATCTTATTCAAAAAGAACATTCTTATTTTTTATACAATTAAATACTACAATTTGAACACTAGAATAGTCGCTTCACTTGATACAAATAAGTTAGGTGAGAACGTCTTTAAGCTACAATCACTTCTAAAATTTTAACATTGTTAGTCTCTAACTCAGCATGACCTACATTACTGCTTTGCCCCATTACAGCTTGGACATTTTAGTAAACAACTTGACTTGAATTGTGTAATTTTTGTCATCATCATACATAGTTCGAATCATAAATATCAAGCTATGTGTGCTTGTTTATCTTTTTTTAGGTCACATCGAAGCAATAGCTTGACATGGTTTTATTTAAATTGATATTTTTAGATCAAGAAATTGAAAAAGGTTACTTTGTATCCCCAAAAAACATCTCATTCTCACAGGAAGCTAGCTACACTGACACTTTTATTTGACCATGCGAGGAAGCCGCAAGTAACAGCTAGTTTATTATAAGGTACACAAACCTTGTTAGCTCTTGAAATGCATATCCATCAGTCCAATTTTCTTGAAAGGTGGCACCGACACGTTGCGTGACAAACTGGCCTAGCCTCAGTCTATTTTGCATGCAGCGCTGTCGGGCTTCCTTCTTTTCAATAGTACTTTTTTCATTCAACAATTTCTTAACTACTTCTATACATTTGTTGATGTGTGATTTGTGTTGTTCAATCACCTGAAATTTAGTAGTATAAGATAGAGTGAGTGTTATTAATATTATTAAATGATCTGTTCCCGCCTGCATGGACTTTGCAGTGTAGGACAGCAAATAGGAAGTATCCCTCCAGTTTGCCTATTTCCGTCACAGTCTGAAGTAAGAAGTTACATGATGATATTTAATTTTACACCATCTGTATTGCATGTTATCCTCCAAAATGACCCTTTTGGATATGGTTGTATTGTATGTATTATGTAGATCAATTCACAAATTAAAATATATATATCGCAATTTCAATTATTAAGGTGTATAAACTCCCATATTTTTCCTGTGTGATCATTACCTCACACACATTGTACTCATTATTTTAATTTCCTATCTAATTCAAAGTTTTTTTAAAATTTAATATAGAGTAAATTCCTGACATATGATGATTTTCTTCAATGGAAGTAATGTTGTTGCAAATTATTTTTTTATTTTTTAACATATAACTTTTCTAAAGGTTGCTGCTTTTTTAAATTTCTACATGCATTTATCATATTTTACCTTATTTTGAGCTTGCACTTGATGCTTTAGCTCTTCATTTGTCCGTGTTAATTCATCTATTTTATTATTTCTTAGTTCTAAATCAGAAGATGCCTGAGTTTCTAACTCTTGTATCCTCTGACATGTCATTTCTGTCTGAATCTGCAAACAATAATCCTTTACATATCTAAGATAAGCAAAATATCCAAATATTTTGGCTTGGTGTATAATATTACCTGTTTAACTGATGTGTGAGGTCTCTGTTGAGAAGCTGCTCGCATGAAGTCAGCTCCTGGCAATAGTGATGAAGGTGACGGTGGGTACTGTAATAATGAAAGTTAGCCTTAGTTAAGTTCTCCCTTAAAAGAATACAAGTCCTGTACAATGTTAAGGTCTTATATGGGATGTAGGAGAACTATTTAAAAAACTACAATTGTTTTAATATTTATCAGTTTAAGTTGTTATTTGTATGCTAATATTTATTGAAATGGAAATTTTATTTTATGTACCTAATTGTTTCATTACTATAGGCTTATTTCATCACAGACCAAATGTATGGTGAGATTATTATTGGGTGCTTTATTACATTAAAAAAAGAATATTACCATAGGATAATTGGCGCCTTGAGGCGAGGGGGATTTAGCTCCAGCATGCCTTACAGGACTGGACGAGGGGTGCTTTGAGAAATATTCTCGTATATTTTTATCTGATGAGTTATGGCGTTGCTTTCCTCCTCCACCCCCACCACCACCAACTCCTTCATCTCCTGAAATAAAATTAAAATAATAAAAATCGTGATTTTTTCATCTTTTTAATTTTTTTGTACCTTGAAATAAAAAGTATACATAATATGTGATGAATATGTCATCACATCCTTAGGCTATTAACATGGTAATTTTAATTGGCTAAACTATTATGACACTAAAAAACTTTTTTTTAAACAAGATTGCATAAAAGCTATAGAATACAATGCGCCTTAGTAGCAAAATTAAAATCAATGTTCATGTAATAATAATTGTGCAGTTTTAAGTAATTTATTCGGCACCATAAGTAAATGGTTAGTAAATTTTGTAGATAAACCATTATGAGATCATATTTGGAATTGATTTTACCTTTTCGTTTTCGCTTCCTCTCCGGCATTGTTATGGTAGGTGTGGCACCACCAGGAGCAACCAGGACTGTGCCTGACGCAGCAGTTGAGCCTCGCATAGCTACAGACTTCTCCGGAGTTAAAGCATCAACTTCTTTATCACTATGAGATGACCCTGTAATGCAAGATTTTTTACATATAATTATAGTGTACCTTGATTTCCAAATGATTGCTACATAAAGTATCTACTGAAGGCTTTGCCAACTTTATTTACATAATATATTAAACAGATAAACCTAGAAATTTGTTCATAAAGGTGTTCTTGAAATTTCAGTGTTTTTTGACATTCCAGTATAAACTTAATGCTTGCAAGTATTATAAACAAACAATATCAGACTATAACTCACTTTTAGACAAGGTATTCAGAAGGCTGACGTGGTTTATGTTAGCTCCGGAATTATACTCGTGCATTTTATCAGAAGGGCACAGAAGTCTTGTATTTCGGGAAATAAATTAACACTTTCACGGTACCTATCCGGCATCGTTTACGAGTATAGTACGTCACAATCCCTTGCCTTAAGATTTATTACACAAACTCCACTGATCACAAGTTTCTAGTCTGTTTACGTTCATTTAACCGGCTCCAAGTCAACACTGATCACTGAACACATCACCAATGTTTACAGCACTCAACACCACCACAAATTACCTGTGCTCATATTGGAGTCCTGACTGTGTAGCGGTTGCCCCGTGTTGACAGTAGTTTGTGGTGCCATCTGAATTTGTGAACCAGCTGACATCTGTAAAGAAAGATGGCGTCTTTACATATGACTCGCCTTTCTTCGTTACATATTTCATTTCTATTGTTAATTAGGACGAGCAGGTCACTAATACTCACAAATTACATGTCAAAGAATAACTCCATTTTAATTTATGTTTTTAATCTTCTTTACATCTAAATAACCTAACTACTTTGACAAGTTGTAAACGAAACGCCATTCGCGACAATCGGATACGCATCCGCGGGGAGGGGCGAGAAGTGGAGAGATCGTCACGAAGTTTGCTCCGAATGTAATAATAATAACGACGACGGGCGAGGCGCCATTTTATAAGGATACAAGGCCGTAAGCATTGTTAAATCCAGTGAAAATATTTGATTGCAACGTTCCACTATATAAATTCTGTCAAATTAAACANACGAAACGCCATTCGCGACAATCGGATACGCATCCGCGGGGAGGGGCGAGAAGTGGAGAGATCGTCACGAAGTTTGCTCCGAATGTAATAATAATAACGACGACGGGCGAGGCGCCATTTTATAAGGATACAAGGCCGTAAGCATTGTTAAATCCAGTGAAAATATTTGATTGCAACGTTCCACTATATAAATTCTGTCAAATTAAACAGCTTTTGAATAAAACACTTTGTGTTGATTAAAATAATAAATGAAAAATCTTAGTCATGTTCGCACTCGAACTCGTGACGGGTCAACAGCCCGTGATTGCGATTATGCTTGTTGACCAATTTGCGATTGTAAAATACAAACAAAAATACGTACTGATGTAAAATGTTATTAAAGTTATGAATACTTTTAAAATGAAAAATAATGCGAATTAGAACGTACAACACGCAGGAAAGCGACTTGACCGATTATTCCCGCAATGATGAGGTGGCACCGGTGGGTGGCGGGAGGTGTGCCACCGCCACCGACCGCAGCGAATGAGTAGGTACGTGATATCGGCGCTCGTGCCCCACAACAAACTGCTTACTGGACGTGTTACGTAGGCGTCTGTGCCGCGATGTACAACATAAACACATAGGTATTTCGTGCATGAAACAAAGTGAACAATCATGTAGATTTAAAAACCTATCCTTATGTTAATTTGTTTAAAAAAACTAGAAGCGCGTGCATGTATGTGTCCACAAGTGCACTTTATATTATTATATTAATTGTGAATTTATGGAACTTCCATGTCCGAAAATATAAAGTTAAATTACACACTGAATGGAAAAACAAAAGAATATCAAAATGAAAAATTGCCGCCTAAATACTCAATACACAATATATAAAATAAGTAGTAATTAATTTTAAATAAACATAATTTCGCTTTAGTAATTATAATACTATCGATCTTGATTAGGTAATTGCTCCTTATTAAAAAAAAGGATTCACTTGTTATGTAGTCAAAATTACTTTTCATTTATTAAATAACTAAATAACAAACTATCATAGAGCTTTATGACGTAGGTATACAAATGCCTATTTGATATTGTAAATCCGTTTGTTCGAAAAAGTCACTATTGTGTGGGCAGTAATAATAGTTATGAATGAAAGAGATACACAGTAGTTTGTATATTAGCATTATCGCCGTTACGTTGGCGTTCTGCATGTACTCCCCATAGCGCCTCTTGCCCCCACCTCTCCAGATCGATGATGACCATTGTTAAATCGAACAAAATCGCATTTGTATTAAATTAAAAAGTTAACTTGAATTATAATACGAACACGACTTTTAAAAAAAAGTCACTACGTTCTAATATTTTGAAAAAATATTTTATTTTTCTGTTTGTTTCGCAAACACAAAATATTTGTAATAAATATCCTTATTCATTTGCAATTCTCTCTAAATTCAGATTTTTTCCAATTACTGGCACTATTGTGAATATAATACATTTCGACGCTTGAAATGCAAACGTGACTAAGCGACAATAACTGCTTTATACATAAATGATAGGCAATAACCATATTCGGTGCGGAAAAAAAATATATTTCTAGGTCTATTAAAATCATTTCAATCCTACAGCTAGATTCGTTAAAATAGATTTTTTTTAGGTATTTTTCAGGTATATTTTAAATTAATTTCAACATTAAATTAGTCTACTGTAAAGTTCACGCATTGTCGCTTAGTTACGTTTGCCTTTCAAGCGTCGATATATTATTATACTATTTCTAGTTCCAAGATCAACTGAACAAGTGCCCAAATGGTATGTTATGTATTATGAATATTAGTCGAAAATCAATACCGGCTGCTCGGTTATTCCAATATTGTAAAAAAAAAAGCTCTATCTACGAATTGCGCCTTTGTATTTGGGGATAATGTAAGCTGATGCTATTTGATCAGTTAGCGAACGCAACCCCTTTCTTTAGTGAAAACCATGTTTTTTTAGCCTTCCTACTACCAGTAATTTCGAGGGGTTGGTTATTCTGGCTTCATCGAATATGTAGGCGAACTCACGGGGTTCAGCCTGGGCCACTTTGCTAACATCTATCCTAGTAAGAGCAGTGCTTCGCTGAATCTACAACACGAAGAAACCGTGGTTTGTAATACCATGTGTGTACATTGATTATGAGATTAAAATGGGTTATCAAATTTATCTGAGCGCGTGTTCTCCGCCCATCTCACCTGGTGAAGCTGGAAAGATCTATGGAGTAACAGTAGTCTCTGCTTCCCAAAAAAAGTTATGAAATCTATGAATCCCAGATTACTTACTGCGTAAATTATTGGGGCCTGAGCAGTTTAATGAATATTGAAGTCTGAAAGAAATTCGGTATTCAACTATACATTTTAAGAACGAGAGGTTCATTTAAAAATTTACTCTTAAAGATAACTAAATTAATTTAGGAAATACTTTATTATGTTTCTTCTGTCGAAAAATGATGACCGCTTTGATTTTGTTGAAAAAAAAAAACAAAAAAACATGAGTGCGTTTTTATATATATTTTTTTTATTTCGTTGAAGCGTGTATTCTAACCAAAATTGGGTTGCCAAACTCTGCTCCCCTTACCAATGTAAGGGGAAATGGAGTGAGCAACGCGAACCAGGCGACTCATAGTCAACTATTTTTAGTTCCTTAAACAAATTGCGATTACGAATGAGTTTACTCAGTAACTAAATATTCAGTAATTTGAGCAAAGTTTTAAATAGGTACTTTTCAGAACATTGTTGAAGACTTGTTAGTTCGTAAATCGGATGAGAATTATTATTGTAATAAACATTTTTGACTGTATAGTTATTGCATGTAGCCTACCTAATGAGAACTGGTTGATGCCGTCAACATAAATTGGCAATTCTGGCACTGTCATCTTTCTTTTTTACGTCCACAAGATTACAGCCCTAGGTCATCGCAGTGTGCAGGTGTTGCTGTGTACGCTAAAATATTTTTCTTAAACACCCATTAAATAGAGAGAACATGTCTCGGTCATTAGGTTCATTAAAATATAGGTACTTGGTAAGATGAATATTAGAGAATATGTTTTTTTTTTAAATTCGTGTGTAGTGTCTTAAGTTTCTCGATCACTAGAACACAATTATTTTAATAAATCTAATGCTAAAAATGCTTTTAATACATTAGAAAGTTCAAGTACAGTAGACAGTTCAAATCATGGATATCCACCTTATGTCATATGTCTTATGTCATATGTAATGTCATAATTTAATTCAATAATGTGGAAATATAATATCCTCAATATAACGTCAGGAATAACTTCAAATATCAATATAAATTTGTAATCATTTAAAATTTATCATTTGATATACATAATTTGTTATATTTTAATATTTATTATACATATTTTCCTGAACCAGGTTTCGCAAATATTATTACAAAGTCTAGGTACATACTTTTTAAAATTAAATTAATAATTATCCTATAAAGGTATAGACAGATATTCTCAAATCATAAGTGGCATCGACACTCTCAGACCGCTCAGCAGGGCGGCAAGTGTCGGGCTCGGGAGGCACGCGGCACAGTGGGTCAAACGAAGCAGTACAAGCGGACCTTGCAATGTCGCGGCGTGACGCTCAGCTGACATACCGCCTGCCTCCNCATACTTTTTAAAATTAAATTAATAATTATCCTATAAAGGTATAGACAGATATTCTCAAATCATAAGTGGCATCGACACTCTCAGACCGCTCAGCAGGGCGGCAAGTGTCGGGCTCGGGAGGCACGCGGCACAGTGGGTCAAACGAAGCAGTACAAGCGGACCTTGCAATGTCGCGGCGTGACGCTCAGCTGACATACCGCCTGCCTCCGCGCCACACCGCCCCGACGTTCATTGCCTTCATGGCGCTGCCGGCGGCAGGACGTCTCGTATGGTTCAACGATGTATTTTAATATGCTTTTTGTTTGACAAGAAAACAACTATTACTTTTACGTGTCTATCATGTGAATTATTTATTCTTTTGTTACCATGTGAGTGCGACGTGCCTTTGATTACTTAATGAAATCTAAAGTGTGGTGTCGACCGGTGCGAGAGGTCGGACTGTGTAAAAATAACTGCGGAACAGAGCGGCTAAGCAGTGGAATGAGGTTTGACGGCACATTGTAGTCGAGGCGGGGCGAAACCGTGCGCAGTGTTATAATTTCCCTTCGTGTCGAATGTGCAAATTGACTGAACGCTGCGCTATGTCGCCTCTCTTTCACTCAGTGTCAGTTTATACCCCAACAACACAAACCGCAATCTATAGTGACATCAATCGTGTTTGTTCTCTTGGAAAATATTAACCGTTTCATCAATGAGAATGAAGAATAGACCGTTCAAATTTAAAGACGAAGATTTTAAGATATTAAATTTTCAATAAAGGACAATTTTCGGACTATTAAAATTCTTCATGTATTAAAAACCAGTTACACGGTTTTGTTACCGAAAGCGGAATATGAATTTGCCGAGCTATTTTAAGATCATTATCTTAGGCTTATCTATATTTTAACATCTTATTAGAATATAGTTTTGTAGTAATATTTTATCGGCAATTTTTTTATGCGTTGTGAAGTCTATTTTACTAGTTAGTGACGGCAGAGGAAAGGAGGTGCGGGGTACACAAGCCAGTCTGTGTCGCTGACCCCGCGGCCCCGACTCTTGTACTTGCATTCTCAACGAGTAACATTTAACTGATCGCATATTTATTTGGGATAAACCAAGACTATTTTTATTCTTGTATATATACTTAAAGCTGTTCGTATGTCAACTCCATAATTTTGAATAACGCTTCTTTAGTTTTTTTAAATTATGCTCAATTTGAGTAATTTCACAACGATTTATTCAGTTTTCTTTTAACGAAATTTTATAAACAATACTTGGAAATCGATTTAACCCAGTTGCAAATCGATTTGAAACTTTGCAACAAGTACTTACTAATCGTTGCTGAGCCTGGTAACTGAACTCTTCAACAGCTACTTATAACCTTATTTAGATTTGTCTCAAAGAGTATTATATTATTCATTAAGTGTTATCCGTATTCATTTAGTTTCTTTCAAACTTAATATTATATCTACAAATAACACTTGACTGTGTGAGTTGATTGATCGAAGAAAAAAATCTGTTTTTTACAAATTTACACATTTGCAGCTATGTTAAATTTAAATCGAATGATGTGATTGCACATGCAAAACAACTTGGTTTTATTGTTATATCATTGGCTTCCAGCACTGAAGCGATATAAAATATATAGCTATTTTTAAGTGTAATCGTGAGTTTTAAAAGTTTTTACGCGATGCTCAGGGCAACGGACATGCAAGCTCGGTGACAAAAAGTAAACAAATTCTGTATCGTAAATGTTCCGTAATGAAGGTTCCTGGTTTATTCTTTGGCCGTATAATTTGAATCATTTCAAGTATTAAATCAATCGTAAAGTTATTATAATTTTGCTATAATTTTTTTTTTCAATAATTTTCGTTCAGTTTCATCTTAAGCTTTTTTTAACTTCGAATATTCCTAAACCCTATCAGTTCTTCTATATAATAGAATATTATATATGTTGAAAACGAATAGTTCCTATAAACAACTATATTAATATAACACACATCGATTGAAAAACGGCTGGCGCCTACGCTTTTTTTTCGGTACCTCGCTCTCTCTCGCTCTTAAGCTTCTAATAATAAATTGATGTTGAATGCCATGCAGCTCTACTGTGATGGAGTTGCTTTGAAGAATTAACGGACAAGTACTCTAGTAGTTACAGTAACAAATACAATACTCGCAAAAACGACGTTGAAACCGGAATATTTTTAATATCTAACTCACCATTTTGAATTCTGGAGCACGATGAGTTTCTACTATTATCTCCCTTGCTGTGACCTGAAAACAGGCAACCAATGCAATTGTTTTCGACCTACTTTTTACGAGTTTATTTATTGATTTTGAGTAAAAAGTATTGAAACATTTGTAACATTACAATGAAAAAGGTAGGTATGTGTGTAAATATAAAATCTTACTGGTATAATATCGGAATGATTTTCATAAGATCATTTTAGTAAGTATTCATAATATCAAAAAAGTCCCTATGTGTGACCATTCTCCTATTCATTGTTCTACATATTGGTTCTAACACACCAATTATATTAAAATCTAATCGTTTTATCTAGTTAAAATCTTAATCTTATTAATGAACGAAAATTATTCAACAAGATATGAAAAATTTGTAGTACGAGTAAATTTCCATAAGGAAAATATTTTGTTGTGTAGTTACCTATATTACCAGTAAACTTTACTAGTAAATAACCATTCAATTAAGATTTAAAACGTCTAATGGCAAAAAATAATGATTCAACTTTAAGTGTTTTTAAACGACTAGGTACTTACTCAATTGAAATCTTTCCGGTGAACAACAAAAAGAGAACGTGATCAATAATACTGATCATTTGAATAACAAATATAACAAAGCAAAGAACAAAACCGATGGCCAGACATGGCGAAGTGACGCGTGAACAGGGCGAGATAGGGACGAAGATCGCGAGCGACGCGCCGACGAACCGACATAATGCTATTACATATGTGATATATCTACAGCGATTTACTTGCTTAGCCAAGTATACTATACATATATGTACAGACTGCAGATATATATGGCCGTAATGTAATGTAGTCGTGTCGCCGCGCCGACGAAAGCGGTGAGGTAGAGGAGGCGGGGCAGGTGGGCCTACTGGAATTATCAAAGATCACGTGATCGATGCGTTGCATGCCACAATCAACGTCGAACTATCAGCATCTACATATTTGTATTCAACGATGTTTTAGCATTGAGAACTTTTAATACAAAATACTTTTATTCAAATCATAAAATGAGACAAAAACAAAGGCTGCTTAATACGTTTAATTCTGTTGACGACAGTTTTAAAATGTATTCTTTCATTAGAGAACGTGAATTTAATATTTGACATCGACAATTTAAATACAGTAGAATTTTAATTATAATTTTTTCATCTCCATTTGTTTATCATAAAAAGAAATAAAACATTTTAGATGACCTTGATGGTTTTGATTATTTACTCCAAACAGAGAACGCAAACGTTGCCTCGGAAATGAGCCAAATGTTGATTACATAATACATATAACTATTTGGTATATATATAATATTCGTAAGAATTTAAATTGGTCCTAGTACCGCCTACAGTCAATATTCGATCTATTAATTACTTATAAACCTACCAAGCTCAGTTTCGCCTATAGCTAAGTGTTCATACATTGAAATACCTACACCAATTTCATAAAACTACACCAGCGCCACCTACTGTAACTAAATTGTACTTTGCGTACACTCGCGCAAGTGCAAGCATCAAGTTGACTTTGATCGCAATCGGATAAACAGTATGACAGCACATAAAATACGAACAAATAAACAAATATTGATTATTATGTAATAATAGGTGGTATGCTCTAATTACAAGTAATACCAACAACATGACTTTTTTTTTCACGGTATCTTACGATTTTTTTAAGAGTTACCTTTTATAATTAACATAAAAAGGTACCCATTTCACTTTTGTACGTTTTTAATAACAATTATTTTTATCGTGACAATTCAAATTACTTAATTAATTTGTATTTTGTTTGACAGTAAAATGATCATTAATTCCGTCATAAAATGTTAGTTGTTTGAATGTTGTGAGTGAAGTTTATTGCACTTAATATTCGTGACTGAGGACACATTGTAATTTATAAATATTACAGATTGTCGAAATTGAATCCGACATTTGATCTATTTACTTATAGGGTGATTAGCAATTATTTCCTGCGGTTGCGAAGTTAATCTTATCCTCCTCTAATTCTTCTCTAAGAAGCTTCACAATCGATAACAAAAGCTGCGGATCGACGTCACAATTGGTGCACAATTGATTATAATATAAAAAAAATTTTTTCTTCTCGTAGCTTTCTTTATAGGGAGTATTTATTTTTATAATATAAAATTGGAAATTTTTATATATTTTTTTTATTGCTTAGTTGGGTGGACGAGCTCACAGGCCACTTGGTGTTAAGTGGTTACTGGAGCCCAAAGACATCTTTTTTTTATTGCTTAGATGGATGGACGAGCTCACAGCCCACCTGGTGTAAGTGGTTACTGGAGCCCATAGACATCTACAACGTAAATGCGCCACCCACCTCGAGATATAAGTTCTAAGGTCTCAGTATAGTTACAACGGCTACCCCACCCTTCGAACCGAAACGCATTACTGCTTCACGGCGGAAATAGGCTGGGTGGTGGTACCTACCCGTGCGGACTCACAAGAGGTCCTACCACCAGTGATACCACTGCTCTCGACTTATTAACTTAAAACTTACTTTGGCTCCTAAGAATCGTGCTTCGAGAAGCTCCTGCTTGCGAGGATCCAGCGCCGCCTGGAAGTGCTCCATCTTGACGCCAGCACCTAACAATAAAGAATAATTTATTATCCAGTTGTAATTTAAAATCTACCGATACATATCATATTATTTTGAAAAGATTAGCTCCTTTAAGTTTTTGCATTTCATAACCAATTGACCAAAGCTGGTGCCTATTATTTCGCCCTGTTGGCCTGGGCATAACATTGCCTTTAACAGCGACTTGGCTCTTGCTGAAGTCCATGGACGACGGTAACCACTCACCTTCAGGTGCTCAGGTGGGTATGCTCGTCTGCCTACAAGGGCAATAAAAAAAAATCACATGCAGTCACAATAAAAATGATTTTATTATTATTAGGAGGCACTTTACATTTTTAACTCGGATTTAAAAAAATGTACTCATTATAACATATTATTTTACTCATAATAAATATCATCAGATAGAGATTGGAGGTAAAAATTAAATAATTTCGGTTTTATAGGTTATTATTTTTTAAAATCGATAGTTAGGAGCAGTCATTTTATATAAATAAATAGTTAAAAGCGCAGTCGCTTTTCCTCTTATGTTATCGAGTTAAAAATCATTTATTCTGAGAAAAATTGATGGTAATTTTTTAACAAGAGTTTGCCTCCGTAATTTTCGGGATTTCACTAGACTAACTTCTAAGACTCTAACCTCTCCAGAATAACCTCTTGTTCTTGTTTTTTGAACATTTTTTTTATTGTTCACAGTCTACCTGGTGTTAAGTGGTTACCGGAGCTTATAGATATCTACAACGTAAATACCGCCACCCACCTTGAGATATGAGTACGAAGGTGTCAGTATAGTTCAACAACGACTTCCCGCAAACCGAAACGTATTACTGCTTCACGGCAGAAATAGACGAGGTGATGGTACCTACCCGTGCGAACCCAGAAGACGTCCTACCATCAGTAATTAAGCAAATTATAATTTTGGTGGTTTGATTTTAATTACACGATGTTATTCCTTCACCGTGGAAGCCAATCGTGAACATTTGTTGGGTACGTATTTCATTAGAAAAATTGGTACCTGACTGCGGGATTCGAACACCGTTGCATCGCTCGATACGAATGCACTGGACATCTTATCCCTTAGGCCACAACAACTTAAAGCACTTCGGTCTAGCTATATTGTCCCTTTTGCCTACTACTTATGTTGGCTTTGGCTATTATAATACATTGGCAAGCATTTTGACCAGGGTTCACGATTTGTAAACAATTTTGGGGACAGTTCAAGGCCACAGAACAGAAACGACTACAACAGTAGGAAAGAAAGGTCTACAAAGGCTTATAGTTCTATTATTTGACCCTCTGTTGGGGTTCTGTAGGTTTCACAATGTAATACGATGCATTAACACTTCTCGATTTCTTAATACAATAATATAGTATGGTTATTGCTTTTGTTCGATTGAAAAGGTCAGAATACTCTTTTCTTTTTTTCGTTTCGTGTCTGCCTAGTGAATGACGCTTTTGAAAACGGACTTTAAGTGACATTTAAATGAAAATGTCACGTATTAGAACATTTCTTCTTCTAAGATAGGTACTTAATCAACAATAAAATATATAGTACATGCAATTTTGGATGTAATATTTTGAGTTTGCTTGAGATGACAAATAAACAAACATGAGCCGTTTAATTAACAGACACTATATTTTTTTAACCGGAGCGGTAGGTAGGTATTCAGGGCATATATTTCGTAAACTCTTTATAGACTTCAGAAATCATGATGAGTGATTTGTCGCTCATGATTATTTGAGGCTAGAGATGTTCTAATATTCTATTAGTTTATTACGTCGGTTATGAATACGAACATACGACCTAGGCCTCCCCAAGCTAATAATACTACTAATCCTATCTTCTAAATTTATAGTACTAAATCCTATCTATATTTGAGACCGTCGGCGCAAAAGTGGCCTAACCTACAATTTTTCATATTCATGTTTATACATATACCTATTGCAATTTATATGAAAACATAATAATGTTTTATGCAAAGCCGGCGTATCCCTAGTTTCAGCGATAGATAACAGATGCCTTTGTAAACATTACTTTTTGCACGTATGGTTTTGCCGACGAAGCAGTCGATATCTCCATAATAACTATGGTAGGCTTAGGCCACTTTTGCGCTGACAGCCCCATTTATACTTCTCTCTGATTCCTATTAAAGAAACCGTTGGTGAGTGTTGTGGTTCTCACTGGTTATTATCACCATCCAGTTTATATTTGCTGCGAAGCAACCAGCTTGGGAGTGGTGGACTGGATAGTTGTCATTCCACGTAACTAAAGCTTCCACATTATAATTCGAGGTGGAAGAACATTGTTGAAGCCTATTCGATTGCTCGTGTTAGAGAGTGAGGAAAATTGCATGAACGAGCACGGAAAGAGAGTTTGCGCCTGGATTTAATTACCAAGCTTAATTAAAAGTTACAAAGTTCTGCGTATACTATAGGTGCCAACATATACACATGATGATCTTCACTACATAGTATAAAACAAAGTCGCTTTCTCTGTCGTTATATTCCTATGTATGCTTAAATCTTTAAAACTACGTAACTGATTTTGATACGGTTTTTTTAATAGATAGAGTGATTGAAGAGGAAGGCTTATATGTATAATAACATCCATTAAATAGTGGAGAAATCAATAATAAATTACAGTTTCCGATGCGAAGCGAGGGCGGGTCGCTAGTTATTAATTAATAAAATGCAATTTTGACTATAATGGTCTAAAAATTCACAATCAGAGAGGAGACAGTACTGATGGAACAGCAGTACTATGGTTATATGTAATTGATTAACAAGCAAAAAATTAGGTAAATTTTACAATTATATTTTTCACGCATATATAAAGCGATAAATTTGTCTCCCTTTGAGCATTGTAATAAAATTGTTGTACAAACGTTCAAACTGTATATCGTGTTCTCATTACAGTCTAATTTAGGATATAGAAAAATTGATCCGGATGAACGAGTATATAGGTAAAAAGAGGCGTGGGTGGCGGAGAGCGGGGTTTTGGCGCAGTATCTAGAGCAGACAGTAGAGTTGCGAGAAGTTAGGTACATTTATTTATACAGATACGTATGTATGTTCAATGTACATATCGATCGCCTCCCCGGGCCACTCGCCACTATGATCTCACCTCCATCCTAGCGACTCCCTTTCCCCCTTTACGCCTCATTCCTTGCCGCAACACCCTTGAGGTTTAACCAATGTCGTTGCTAAGTGAAACACGTGACTCAATATGCTAATGACGGATGAATGAAATACAATAATTTTCAACGTTTTTAAGCATTCACAGGAACAATTCTTGTTCAAAAGATGAACCAATAAACCAATCAACCAATAAATGTATCTATCTAATATAAGAGCTAATTCTTGGAAACGTGTATTGTAAATGGGTAAAAACGATAAAGTAAATAAAATATGTAGTAAATTAAAATTAACAATTATTAGTATCTCCTGTGTGAGACCCAACCTTTATATTTACCTTGTAAATGTTTACTAGAACTGAATATACTTGCATTTACAATTATATAATTTTAGTGCACATGTCTAAAATATGGCAACTTTTGAAAAACATAAATTACATATCCCTCTTTGTTTATCATCTGTAAATAATGTAAAACTAAAATAATATTTTAATTTTAATATTCGAATTTTCGATTCATAATAATATGTATTCAGAGCTTTAAACCCTATATGACTTTTTACGTATATATATAGTCTTTTAGATTTAATGTAATTCTGCAATGGCTGAACTCATTTGAATGTTGTTTTCATGGATGTATTGAAATATTTGATGTTGATTTTGAACGTATCAAATAAGTGGGCAACTAAAGAGATAAGAGGTACTTGTTTTAATTTTGCATTTTTTTGTAAACAAATAATTTTAATTCGTTTAACTTGTGTTTGGATATTCAAATATCATTAATTTTTTATTCACTTCGTATTTTGTTCTTTCAAACTTGGGGCTTATTCTTAGGATTACAATTTTACGATTTATCACAGTACTCTCTGCATTACAGACGCTTATTACTTTAGTTTACACTTTCTAACAGCGTCTATTCTGAGCTTTGAATAACATAGATATATTTTAAACCCAGTTAAACTCCCACTATGTATGTATAGCTGTGTGAGTTCACAGTAAATGAAACTGTGTGTATTCGTTTGGCTGGCATGGACATGGTTATGTTTCACCACAAATAATACGTGTCGAACGATGGCAGACGGCAACAGACGGCTTTCGACCGTCATAGCAAGCGGACACATACCCTTGCACCGAGAATTGCGGCGGCCGCGTTCGCTTGGTCGATCGCTCATCGCGAACGCCTCTTTGAAATGCATCTTCCAAAACAATTTTGTACTCCATCCACATTCACTACGTGTGTCATCAGCACGCAATTACGAAAATCCACTATCACTGACACCTCACAAATTTAACGCAACGGCTAAGTTGCTACGCAAATCTTTTGTCACACGTCGCATACACTTCAAATAGTTCGAAAGTAGCATATTATATTTGAACGTAAATGAATGCGAGATAACACTTCCGCAGGCTCGAACTAATGCGACAGTCTGGCACGGGTGCGGAGTGGCGCGCGTTGCGAACGGCCGTCGCCGCCGCCTCCGCCACGGGACCGGACCTCGCGTCTCGGGGGCGAGGATGCGGGAATCGGCTTCGGCGCAATACCCGTCACGAAAATAATAGGAACACGGAGTGCACCTCAGAGGCGCGACGCGTCGCGGTCGGTGTGAGCGAGACGCGGATAAACACCAGACTGTTTACTTACGGTGTTCAAGCGCGGGGTTGCCTGGCGGGACGAGGGGCGACTGCCTGCAATCCGCACGTTGCAATTACTGCTTTAAATTATACAATTTCATATTATTGAGTCCACTAAGTGAGTCGAAAACAATAGTCACAATCATTTAAAAACAATCTATTTTGCGACGTTATACTGGCAATGGAACTTTACATCGATTAAATTCCGAATTAGTCAAATTTTCCAAATAATCTAAGGATATAATATCCGCGATTTTATATTAACGTTATTAAATCCTCCTTCCAACTGATTTAACTGAAAATACCTAACACGAAAATGCACATTAAATCGTTTTAAATCACTACCTATAAACTCAGAGTCCTTACAATGATATTTGTGTGAAAATTTAATTTAATAATAAACTTTCCATTTCTCTAATAATAATTTACAATTGTTATTAGTCACTGAGAAAAATGGTCATTGCATTTCGATGCATACGCTCCTCTCCGCCGAGTTTACTGTTAAGCGTCCACCCCTCGTTCTCCCAGTTCTGGTCACGTCAGTTGACGATTAGTGCGCCACCGCGACTGAAATATGTATACCCATCGTATAATATACAAAAGACACCTAAAATATTTTGTGTTCATCGTCCGTTGAATAAATTCACGTCCTTTTCACGTTTACGGTTTCCTAATTCTATTTGGCAACAGTTATCGGTTAATTACGATACATTTCCGGAATAAATTTTACAAACAAATCACGATATTAATTATTGTATGTAATCTTATGTATAAATCGCTTATACTCTGCAATGAACCTAGTATCAAATGTTGAAAATATATTTATTAAGTGCCAATTTTTCCAAACAATTTTGTCACTTATTAGAACAAAAATTAATACTAGGTCAGCTCGATATTTAAGAAAAATATCTATAATAATAAATGTAATGTTGATTAGCAAGCTCCGTGAATACCGGGTCGGATGAATGTTGACTACTAGAGACTGGGGGTGCAGGAGCGTTTCTTTTGTTATAGGTAGCTTGTATATACTGCCTATGTGTACAAAGGTTTGAACTGAGAGAAGTGACGCGTCCGGTCGATATCGCCCGCGAAAAATACCGCAGTCATGCTACGCCCTAGCATTTTCATTTATATAACATTATGTGACCTCAATCACGATTGCGACTAGTTCTTNAATGTTGACTACTAGAGACTGGGGGTGCAGGAGCGTTTCTTTTGTTATAGGTAGCTTGTATATACTGCCTATGTGTACAAAGGTTTGAACTGAGAGAAGTGACGCGTCCGGTCGATATCGCCCGCGAAAAATACCGCAGTCATGCTACGCCCTAGCATTTTCATTTATATAACATTATGTGACCTCAATCACGATTGCGACTAGTTCTTCCCGTTTACTATTTCATCCCGGTCCATTAATGCCAAGACTGTATAGCATTAAAGTATTGTCATTAATAAATCTAATCACTTTTTAAGCTTATATTTCGAAAGGGTCGTTATAAACTGTTTAAAAAAACACAACATAACATCATTAATTAGTAAGTACATAATACAAGGTCCCGTTAATGTTGAACATTCAAATGAAACTTTCAAATGCTTCTTGTTTATTTATAATAATTCGTGGACATTTGTGACTTGTTCTTGGATAATAATTATTATTATCAGTCATTACGACCTACTCTCCAAGGTTAATTCTTAATTTTTTATTTTTGGATTGTTTTTTTTTTATGATTGAAAGATTACTGGTGGCCCGTAGGCCTTTCCAATTTCACCAGGACAGGTGGGCGAGCAAAGGCTCAGCCAGGAGGGGTGGGATTTGCTAACAACTGCCCGAGCGCCTCCGAAGGAGACCTAACAACTCAAGAGCAATTGCTTAGCGAATGAATCTACTACCGGATCGGAATCGCGGCCCGCTGAGTTTCTCATTCTGATGCATAGGTTAGGTTGCACGTCGACCTCTTTGTCGAGTTCGACGAGTACGGTTACCGGGGTCCCTAAGCCTGCTTCTAGTATTAGAGCTGAAGGCGTCTAATTTTTCTAATGAAATACGTACTTAACAAATGTTCACGATTGACTTCCACGGTGAAGGAATAACATCGTGTAATAAAAGTAAAAAACCCGCTGAAGTCGTCGTGGCCTAAAGGATAAGACGTCCGGTGCATTCGTTGTTGCGATGCACCGGTGTTCGAATCCCGCAGGCAGGTACCAATTTTTCTAATGAAATACGTACTTAACAAATGTTCACGATTGACTTCCACGGTGAAGGAATAACATCGTGTAATAAAAGTCAAAAACCCGCAAAAATTATAATTTGCGTAATCACTGGTGGTAGGACCTCTTGTGAGTCCGCACGGGTAGGTACCACCGCCCTGCCTAATTCTGCCGTGAAGCAGTAATGCGTTTCGGTTTGAAGGGTGGGGTAGCAGCTGTAACTATACTGAGACCTTAGAACTTATATCTCAAGATGGGTGGCGCATTTACGTTGTAGATGTCTATGGGCTCCAGTAACCACTTAACACCAGGTGGGCTGTGAGCTCGTCCACCCATCTAAGCAATAAAAAAAAAATGCAAAGGTTATTGAATCTGATGGATCCGTAAGGACGTGTCTAGGGCGTCGACGGTGACTGGCTCCTGAATGATCAGGATTCGGGGAGTAGTCAGCGGCGGCAACGATAAGGCGATTATCATGATGCATAGCCTTTTTGGATTGTCTTTCAAGCCAAGTCTCCAGAGCAGAGTTACTCGAACAGGCTCCTCTTTAACTCGAATAGATGCGCTATGGGATTTTTTAAATTCTATCCGTGCTTAAGGGAAAACGAATCGACCATATGGAGAAGGGTCAGTGTCGTTGGGCATGGTTGACATCATAGATAGCATGTCATTTATGTATATGCAAGACGAAAAGCAGCTGTGAATGTACAGAGCCTTGTAGAATGAACGGTCATGGTAACATAAGTATTGGAACCATACCTAGACATCGAAGACGAACTTGATGGTCCAAAAATCTAACGACCGACTTGGATCTCTAAAGATTTCGATAAGGTGGTAGTTTCGTAAGAAGTGGCTTACATTACATACAATTCGGATACAAAAGCGTCAGCTGAACGTCGATAACGGAAACCGTACTTTCAGTCGCCAATCAGTCGCCTCAAAATATCCCGAAAGTTGCACGATAATCACTAGCTCCATCAGACAAAATTCTTGAGTAATATCGAACTAGGTTGGATCGGAAAAAATAGCTATCGGCAGCCTTCGGGAGCGAATGTATAGCGCGGCAACCAGTGAGATTTCTCGTCAGTCGCTCGCTAGCCTTGCTGATTTGCTCTAGCTGATCCGTGGGTAGCCCTCTCATAGGACATGTACTTACATATCCGCCTTTTCTCAGACATGCTAAAATTCCAACGTCTCCTTCCGGTGTGTATGCGGATCGTTTAAGGGTGTAAGGTAGTATAGACCAAGCAATAAACTATGCTGAGCATCGGCCGCCACGCTGTATAAACTGGTTATGTGATTATTAGAAGGTTGAACAAAAAAAGATTCTTAAGGCACAGTCAGCTACGCAGATTGAAATTGGGCTGTGTCACCAGTTCTGGAGGTAGCCTGACCAGAATCTTTTGCTTTCATAATTTAGTTGTCGCCAGAAAAGATAACATTGTTCTATCACCAGCCCACACCGCAGGCTTCGAAGGCTAAGTACTTAGGCGTCACTCTAGACAGGGAGATGACATTCGGGCCCCACATTAAGTCAGTACGTGACCGAGCCGCGTTCCTACTCGGTCGACCCTACCCCATGATCTGCAAGCGAAGTAAATTGTCCCTTCATAACAAGGTGATACTCTACAAAACTTGCATACGTTCTGTCATGGCTTATACAAGTGTAGTGTTCGCTCACGCGTCCCGTACACACATTAACCCTCTCCAGGTCATCTAATCCCGTTTCTGCAGGATAGCCGTCGGAGCATCGTGGTATGTGAGGAATGTAGACCTTCACCACGACTAATCTAGTACCGATACATAAGTATCCTAAGAAAGAATGCTACTTCGACAAAGCGGCGCGACACGAAAACCTTCTTATCGTGGCCGCCGTCGCCCGAAACATGTATTGTCGGATCTCCCGGATTCACTCTCGGTGTTTTAGGACCCTCCAGCACCGGTCACCGTCCTCGTCGAACTCGTCGATTCCGACGAAGAATTCAACGAGCGAACTAACTCACTGAGTTTCATACTTATAATAGACATTTTTTTTGCCTGTCTATTCGCTGGTAGTCTAGGAGGCTATTTCAGCAACGCCCGGACGAGTGAGGTGAGCTCACGGGCTCAACCAGAGAAATTGCTAACACTAGCCCCTAGCTAGAGCAGTGCTTCGCAGAATCTACCACCGGATCGGAAACGCGATCCGCTGAAAAGATCCGGCGAGAAACTCAGTGGGCTATATCTGTGGGTTAACTTACTCGTCGACCCCTTCGTCGCAAGCGACGGATTCCGCGAGGACGGTGACCGGATTTATCACTACTTTATATTTGATGTTCGTTAAATATTCTAAGCCTTAATTTAATTGTGATTCTAATTTATAATATAATGTATATAAACGGATCCTCAGGGTGGCGGCGACAATTGAGACAATTTACATCCACACGAAATAATATATTCTCTTTAGTACACGTTATGGTGGGTAGAATACGAATGCAACAGAGATATGCTAACCGTCGGTATTTATACAATCATCTTGACCTATTTTAATACAAACTGAGTAGGTAATATTAAACATTGTTCATCTTNTATTTGTGAAAGATTATGTATATTTAAAATAAACCTCGTTAAAGTGTTATTTATGCCTTTTGCCTGGTATTGATGACAACTTATAAATTTTAATTTCAATTCTCAATCTCAATATAATTAGTCAAGCTTCAAAGTGCCTGCATAATAAAGTGTATTAAACAGGTTTTAAGCTTCAAATTCTGAATTTCCACATTAAATTCAAAATCATTCAGCATTCAAAAGCAAACTAAAATATTCACGTATGAAATTCGGGTTTTTAAAAACTAATTCAGGGCGTTTTAAACTAAATTAATGATTATAAAAATCATAACCAGTCTTTTTCATAGATTATTTAGATTTGAAAATCTGAATTTGAATTTTATACATAGAAACCAGAATTTGAATTAAACAATCTATAAACAGCAATCTAAATCTGCCAGATCCAGGGACAGCATATTAAAATGCGTATCACTTTCTATTCTGATCTATCGTAGTTTCTTTTTCGAGGCTATTTTCACTT